TATGTTATGACCAACTTGCTTGCAATGCTTACATCTACTCTGGCAGCTCGAGGGTTGAGGCTCAACCCAATCCATCTCATTCTGTATCCTTGAAGACTTTGGTCTTCCTTTTGCACATACCAACCTTGCATCCGGGATTACAGTTGGGCCAACGACTTATGAATCAATAGCTCATTGCCAATAGGGTACCAATGTGAAGCATATACTGTAGCAATGGTTGGGATGGAGAATACAAGGTCCACATAACCATAATGGTTCAACTTTGCTATCTTACAAACTGCTAAGACATGGCTGCTGGGATACCTTCTTGCTGTGAACCTGCCACATTGACATTTGTGATTAATCAAGTCCACTCTCATAGTGTCACTAACATCATGTGTAGATTGATTATATGCACCCTCAACCTCAAACAAAAGTAGACCCCTATCATAAATCCTCACACGGTATGTTCTTGGAAATTCATTATTTTTTTGCAAGGCTTCCTCAACCTTCTTTGAATTTCTCCAACCTTGTGCCTTATCTTTCTGGATCGCATCACGTCTCCTGACGAAATGCTCAATAATTTTACTGCATGTCATCTTGACCAATGCCATTATCGGCATATTACATGCTCCCCGGAGGACCTTATTCACACACTCAGATAGGTTAGTCATCATGTGACCAAACCTGCGTCCTGCCTTATCATAAGATCTGCACCATTGCTCTTTTGGAATCCCATCCAACCATGAAGCAACTTCTAGATTGTTGTCGATAAATTCCTTAAATCTCATGTCAAAATGAATCTTTGAACTCGTGTACCCTGCAAATCAAACAAGTGAAATTCAATAGGTAATTTAACATACAAAAAAGAAGAAGATGAATGATAATATATATTAATAGAGTTCATCTTATACATAGCTTCATCAACATTTTCTTCAATTTCACTTTCCTAAACCTGGTATTAAAGTTGCTTTCGATGTGACGTAGACAAAATACATGATAGGCATAAGGAGGCTGCCAACCAGCGTGATCTCTGACCGCCTTTATGATGCTTCAGTGACGATCGAATATTAGACAAATACCTTGCCTATGTGTCACATGAAAACGTATAAGGCTAAGAACCCACAACCAATCTTCCAACTTCTTACCCGGAGGAACAACAGCAAAGGCAATAGGTAGCAAATATCCATCTCCATCTTGTGACGTTGTAATAAAAAAAGTTCCTTTCTATTTCCCATACATATGAGTACCGTCAATTTGAAGTATCGACTTACAGTATTTGAATGCCTCAATCACTGGTGAAATGTCCAAAAAACTCTATGAAAGATGGCCTTGTCCGTATAAACCCTACGTTTGTCAAAATATTCATGCGTATCAAGCTTGAACATAGAACCCACATTCATCTGCGTCATATACGTCAACCAATTGGGCAAGAATGCATAATATTTCTCCCAGTCACCATATAACTTCACAATGGCCTTCATTTTTGCCTTCATGTACGTTATTTTGTATCCATATATGTGTTGTATCCTCTCTTGTATCATAAATGGTTTTAAGGCTGGATCTTCCTTTAACATACCTATAAAAAAATGCAAGTTGAAAATATTGTCAATAACCATTTTTCATTAAATAAATAACATAAACATAACAACTTTGATAATAACACATCGTATAATACATACTCATAATGGTTGCACAAATAACCTCTGAATTCAGTTGTCTATGATCCTGTGCAAGACCCTGATTCAAGCAGGTGTGATCTTGGACCCACTTACGGACCACCCAATTATTTCCGTTCTTGAGCTTGATTTCTCTCATATACCAGGGACAACCGTCAGCATGGTTTCGACACTTCAACACAAATCTATGCTCGTCGCTTTTTTCGACCTTCATACAGTGTAATTTAACAGCATGTTGCATTTCAGATTTGGAGCCAAATTCTTGTTACACAAATAACGAATCCCCTAATTTCCAACCTCCGTGCAAGTCATCATCATCATAGAGGATCCCCAACTCGTCATTAGGGTGCGCCCAATTAATGAATGAATAATTGTCAGAAGCAATACCAATGCAAATATTAAATGTTCAATACAAATTAAAATTTAATAACTTACCACTACTAACTAGGTCAACATGAAGTGGTGACATGGCTGAGGAACCCAAGCTTACCACATTCGTGACAACGTCAAAATTACCCTGCATGTCAATATCTAACGATTACCTTCTGGAATAACATTTTCAGGTTCTCCCTCCTCTTCGTTGTCCACATCCTCCTTCTCCTCATCCTCCTCACCCTCATCTATTGTTATCTGATTTAACACTTGAGCAGGTGCAAATAAACTGACAACTGTATCTTCTTGACCAAAAATATTGTGGAGTGCTTCTATGTGTCGGTTAAGATGAAGACTGATCAGCATCAACTTCAACGTATATCTCAATAAATTTTAGAGTAAATACCCTTTTTGGTCCTCGGCAAATTTCACGATGCCCGCTTTAGTCCTTAGCAAATAAAAAGGTCCATCGTGGTCCCTAAAAAATTCAAAATAGACCCATTTAGTTGAAATCGTGGTCCCTCACAAATTCAAAAAGACCCATATTAGTCTCTAAAAGGACTAAAATGGATCCATTTTCAATTTTTTAGGGACCACGATGGGCCTTTTTATTTGCTAGGGACTAAAGCGGGTATTATGAAATTTGCTGAGGACCAAAAATGGTATTTACTCTAAATTTTAATATTTTCCACTCAACAAATGCATCTATGACAAATTTCACATCTTCATTGTCATTGATATCTTTACCAATGTAATATATTGTATCCATATCAATTACAATCTCTAACCTGGCTATCATACGCTGAATTGATTAGTTGCCTTGTAGCCCCAATTTTTGATGAATTATCTCCTTCAGTTCATTGTATGTAGTGTCTACTTTGATTTTTATTATTTTTGTTTTTCTTTCAAATCAGACACCATTGGGACCGTCAAATTGCCTCCTATTGTGGTAAATAACTTTAGGATACGTGCCTAAACTTGAACTCATCTTTCACATGAAAATTAGATCTAGGGTTTGGGGATGGGGTTTGTTCAGATTTTTGAGAAAAATAGGAATATGTAGGTGAAATGCCAATGATTTCACAAGATAAAGCCTTTTGAGATGGTAGGATGAAATACAAACTTGATGGTTGAGAACAGAGAAGAGAAAAGATAGAGATTTAGGGGTACAAACCGTATAAATGGTAAACGAGGCTGAAACCCACTGATATTGGGGTTTTTGGCTGACGAATACCCGGGTAACTCGGTGTGTATCTGGGTAAATTATTGCATACTCGAGTATTTGGGTAAATACCCGGGTAGAAACTCATATTACATAAGAACACTAATAATCCTCGAAATATACCTGGGGAATTGGGTTAGTACCCGAATAAATAAGTGGTCAACGGTCAAACATAGGCATATTGGTGTTATGTTTGGTGAATACGTCAATTTTTTTGAATAGTTTATGAATGAGAGCAAGATGGTAATTTGTTATTAATTAAAGGATATAATGGTCAAATTTGTTATTGACATAAATTGATAGCAAGTATATGACGTTTACATCATAATTGTAAAGGATAGTTTACAAAGGAATTGTAATATCTACAGTTATATTGATGCAATCAAATTGATATATTGGGTCATTTTATGGGAAATTTTTTTAATAGTTCTTCTGTACACTTGTTTACTAAAATGGATATTTTTTTTTTCATTTCAACCTTCGTTTTTTTTTTTATATATTCCCTTTCATATCTCGAAAACTTTCCTCGTTTAGTTAGTGTAGATACACCCATTGTATCGAAAGTTTGCTCCATTTTATGATGTTATGAAGGTGTTACTACACTCGAGGCTCAATAGTGTCACTCGGAACTATAGAGAATATATAATAAGAACTGTTGCAACTAGTCTTCAGCAAAAATTATTGATTAAAAATCTAAATTTTATCATCAAGCTTAAATCTATCAACACAAATTATACTATGTTATTGTGGTTAAGCAAAATATTTCAACTTATTTTAATATAGGGATTAATATTTTTTATGTTGTAGAAAATAAATTTTATCTCCCACATAAACATGAAAGTATGTGGGATTCATGTTTTTTTTTTCTCTCTTCTCCTCATATGACCCCCACATACTTTTATATATGTGTAGGAAATAAAATTATCTCCTGTAACATGAGAAACATTAATCCCTTTAAAATATATTCCATTAAGAAATTGAGGCCTATGGGCAGAGTATAATTTTGCTGGCAGATTATGGCAAAGCGTTTTTTTTTTTTTTTTTTAACTTCAAGGTGATGAGTACAATTTAATAAAAGAACATTATATATTAGAAGTGTAAACACTTGAGTAGCAAATAGGATACTTAATTCAGCTATAGAAAATATTTCCCTTATTGATGGTAATAGTGCAATTAGTTATATCATTGACTCCACCTACTAGTTATCATGAGGGAAAATGTTTTCATTTAACCGTTCAAAGTTTCCACCAATCCACATAATGTGCTGATTAGGATAGATTACCTCAACAGGCTATATTAATTCTATAAATTATATCATTTTTTTATACAATAGTAACATATTCGAAATCTCATCTATACTAACAAACCCTCACAATTTAACTCACCCTTAGTGACTTTAAAATTCATCATATTTTATGTAAAACAATCCAATTTAATACACTTGTAGTCAACCGCAGATACAAATTAACTTAGAAAACCATACTTCATATTATTCTTTCATTGGTTCATTGCAGAAATAACTCAACTTTGCTGCATTAGGCTTGCATTGAGTGAGCAGAGAGGACAATTGTACAGAGGTATCCGTAATTCCGTACAATTAGTCCCACTGCTTGTTTCATATGATATTTAATTAATCACTTATAATACAGAAGTTTATCCATATTTACCTGTCCATTCACACTTCCACTCCATTTCTCTGCAACGTTGAACAATGCTTAGAGGGAATGAAAATGTAAACAGTTCTCATCATTCGTTCTCATCCACTTCTTTAATTTAATCAAATTTTCTAAATATAACAGACAAGTTAACATACTTAAAGCCAAAAGCAACTTGCCCTAACAATAATAATGATGATAATAAAAAGAAAGAAAGAGCTGGCCCTGTGATGATACCTCATTACTCTTCAAGGAAAACATATATTATCAGACTAGGAAAAACAGAAAAAAAGGAAAACGTACATCACAGTAATTTTAGTATCCAAAAGTGAACAAGGTTTCAGTTGAACTACATAATGCAGAAACAGAAAGGAGCAGTGTGTAGAGAACCATTGTGCATATTTATTGCAGCACCTTCTTTTCATAGCATCAGATAACCACAGACGAACCCGCAATCCCAGTGCACTCTTCACTTTGTTTCTTATGATACAATCAGCGAAAGCCTTGCTAAGATTTCATGAGAAGAAGGACCGATTTTTATTACGTTCCAATCGTGCTTCCCTCTGTTAAAACAAAGAGAAGGAAATATCAACCAGCATGGTTAATTAATATGCAGTCTTTGTTTATATTATATAAGATGGTAAATTCTAATCAGCATAATTTGCAAAACCATATTTGACAGTCAAAACATTTCATGAAGCATCTTCGAGAAATGGTATTACAATAGGAGATAATTCTCAAAATAATATTTGATTTGAGACAGATGGAACCCAAATCTATTAACAGTGACTTTATTACATCAATGAAAGCATAGCCTTTTTTTACAAACACTAACTGCAGAACAGATACCAAAAGTGTAATGCCTGGCCGCTCCAAGCATCAATGACTATCCCCACACACTAATACGAGACTTTTCAGCGTACTTTGCCCTCACTCGCACACTTCCTATGAAAACTTCCCAGGAGATCACCCATCCCAGAATTACTGCAAGTCAAGCACGCTTAGCTATGGAGTTCTTCCATTTCGGGCTACTGAAAAGTAGATGTATCTTGTTAGTAAAGGTAGTACCAATTAATTCTTATAAGCTATCCTTAACTGTACTGTCTTATACCAACACAGTCTCTGGAATCCCTCTCTTTCGGGGGTTGATTCGATTCATTCATGTACCCCCGCCACTGGAAGCCTGCCAAGGGCCGCTCCTTGTATGTGCCCTTGGGCACCGGCAATCACTCTCCGCCCTCGTCAGCGCCCGGGATGTTACAAAAAGACCCTAGCTCACCCTTAGAATCAACAGACCTAAGCTCCAAGAGATCCTCAATTCCCCACTAACAAAAATGCTTAATTCATGCTTGCCTCACTCCACAAATTCCCCCTCCTTTTATCCCCTTTCCCAAGAATATTCTAGAAGAATTTCCTAACTAACTAACTAAATCACTCACTCACTTTCTTTCAGGCCCATCAAAACTCCCCCTTCAAAACTCACCTTGTCCTTAAGGTGAAGAAAGAGGACAAGTAATGTAAAAGAACTTCCACCTGAGTCCCCCATTATTGAAGCATCTTGACCCTCTCCCTTCATTGAGTTCTTGCAACATCTCAGCGATTCTAAGAGGCAGTTCAGACTAATATTTCTCTTTCAACTTCAGGCTCTGCACACTGTGACAGTCCCCCACTTCTACCAAAAATTTCTTCCCAGCTTCCACTGGTAACCACAGTGACTCCGCCACCTCGTTTTCCAAAAATATGTGAGAAGTCCCTATATCTATGAGTACCACCACCCTTCGTCCTCTAACTCATCTCTATAACTTCAGAGATCGATTAGACGTTATACCCACGACACTGTGGACACCTAGCAGTAGCGGAGCATCCTTTACGCCCTCACCTTCTTCGTCGAATGTTCCTTCTCCGTTAGACACTGCGTTCCCCTCACCCAAAAGCATTACATTTAGCTGCGGGTTCTGACACACATGATTCGGAGAGAACGGCGCGTTGTCGCATCTGAAGCACAGGTTTCGTCTTCGTCGAACATTGAGCTTTTCTTGCATTAATCGTTTAAATCGTGACGCTCGCGGCCTTTCTACACTGCTGTTGGTGGTTGTGGCTCTGTAAGAACCCGCACCGTTAATTAAGGAATTTAATTAATTAATTATGAGAAAATAGGAAATGATTCCATAATTGACCCTAATAATTATTATGAGGCTCTAATAATCATATTAAGTGATTAAGAATGTTGAAAGTCGCTTTTCGGAAGAAAAGTGCAGATACCGGTTCTGCTAGTCGGTATAAATGCGTACCGAAAAAGTATCCCGAAAAATTATAATAAGTGCATGATAATTCCTAGAATAATTTATAGGACTTGTAAAACGAGTTTCAAGTCAAAATAATAAGAACTGGTGCCAGAAAATGGAACTGGCTATGAAAAGCGCGTACCGGAAAGTTGCTCCGAAAAATATAATAAAAATATGATAATTCTTGTAAAATTGAGTAGGTTAAGAATCCTGAGTTTGGGATTAAAATGCTAAGCGTAGCAATTAAAGTTAATACTATGTGTTTAATGCTTAAGTGGCCTATAAATACTCTTATTAAGGGCACACAACCCTAGAAAACAGATTTCTATGCGTGAGTTGTTGAGAGGCTGATCAGTTTGGCTGCTCCTTTGGGTTTTCTTCTCCATTTCTTGAGCAAGTTGGCTCCTTTGACTTTAAGTCTTCTCTTTTCCTCATCCTTAGCACTATGGTTGGGTGTGATGGTCACTTGTGAGTGGGAGAGGAGCTTATGTTCTGAGTTGTGTTGCTGTCTTAGTGAGCTTGAGGTGCTGTCTTGTTGAGTTGGGGGTTGTGGAGTCATCTTCTTGGTTTGTGAAGCTTCAAGGAACTTCCTTTGTGAAGAAAAGGGCCAAGCTTTGTGGCATTTTCGTTGGTCTTGTGTAGTCAGTTTGTTGGAGCTGGTTGTGAGCTCCAAGAGCAGCCCTTGTTTCTGCTATGAAGCCTTGAGTATGTACCTCAACTTGATCATGAGTTTTTATGCCTAAAAATGAAACCTTGATGCATATAATGGTTAAAAGATGATAACCTAACTTGGGGTAATGTCAAACACACCTAGAAATGCATGTTTAGGCTTCTGTAATCGGTAAAAATGGAACCTTTGAAGGATATCTTCGCGAAATGCAGGAACTGCATTCTGTCGCGAAATATCCGGATATTTGCCCGTGAAATATCCGGATATTGATATTCGGATATGGATATCCGTATATGGGGATCTGGATATCCGGATATTGATATTCGGATATTGCCAGAGAGATATCCGGATATTGGATATCCGGATATGTCCCCGAGGAATATCTGGATATTCTGGGATTTCGTAGAACAGTAGCTGTGCTGTGTGTACAGTAGGCTATTGAGGGTTTGTGGACCCTGGATTGATGAAGTTGAACTTCTATAATTAATAAACTAAGTCAGAATCATGTGATTAAGGGCTTGTGGCTTTGTTGGAAGCCTTAAGACGTAAATCGTAAAAGGAGAACGTAGCCTTTATGTTAATGCTTTGAGCAATGTATGTTGATATACTTGCTGGTCCTAAATCAGATTGTGATCTGCTGTGTGTTGGACTTGAGCTGTGAGGACTCTTGGCATTGGATAGTGAGCTTGCAAGGTAAGCTTTCGTGTCCTCGGTTTAGCCATGTTGTGGTTCCACCATGTCCCATGGGGGTATGGTTATATGCATGTTGTGTTACATGCTTTTGATGTTTTGGAAATGCTGTTGAGCTGTTATATGCAAGTGCCTTTATGTTATGCATGTGGTGTTCCACCTATACGGTAAGCCTGAGTATGTGGTACATACAAGATGGTGAGGCTATGGGTGAGGTGCAAGCGGTGTTCCTTGTACTATATGTAGGTATAGACGTATTCCTGCATTCTCTGTCCAGTAGAATAGTATTGACACACATGGTATGAATATCTGTTGCACTGCATAGTTTTGGAACTTATATTGATATAAATGCTTTTAGAACTTATATTGCACATGTAAGTGAGCTTGGGGTGGAAGATCCTTGAGGACCCCTTGTCTTACTGAGATTTCTAGTTTAGAGATCTCACCCCACGTTTGGGGAATGCTTATTTCAGAATCAGGTAATGTTGGGCTTGAGGCCCCAGGCGGCAGGAGGCCAAAGCTGAGTTAGATATTGATGATATTATATGTTGACATGTTGGATGCTGAATATGCTTGTTGCTTTTATGCTTTTAGCTTCATGTTATGATTTTGGATTATCTTGTTGAGACTCCGTCGTTTATGCTGTTGATTTGGTGAGCATGGGGATTGTTCATGCCACATAGACTTGTTATGTCTTGTTTTAATTAGAGTTGTATTAATGTATCAGGATATTGTCCGGATTACGTGATGTAATGCCGTGACTTAGATACTCACTTTATATTTTATATTGAGGTATTTCAGTTAGTTGTCTCGCAATTTACATACAGGCATTGTTTTTAGGAAATTGATTAAGTAATCAACTTGGTTAAGTATAATGACGTCATAATTGGAAAAGAAAAAGATATTCTGCAAATTTTAATTAAGCGCAGCTTAATACGATAGTATGATAACATTACCGGGTATACACGGGGTGTTACAGGCTCCACCAATTGGCTAATAATGCCGAAGCAGTAACCAATTGGCTAAACAGAAATAAGAACGAATACAAGGATTGCGAGAAAATACCTTTTCTCTTTTCTTAATTTTCTTTAACCAAAAACAACCAAATAACAATAGGGTTCTCCAAGCCTTAAATAGGCAAAAATAAAATAACAAAAAAAGTAAATAACTATAATCATGCGCAATCAAAGGAGATAACGCACAATCAATGCACACTCAAACATAATCTAAAATAACAAAATGAAATAACTAGTAATTATTAAAATTCCCTAAATAAAGAAATAAATTATGGAAATGCTCAATCCAAGCGAGTCAGTTCGGGTGCATCATTCTCTCCCACTTGAAAAAGATTCGCCCTCGAATCTGCTTCGTCTTCATTGATATGAGCTTCTTCAGGTGGTAACCCAGGTGGCAATTCTTCTGGTACAATATCACCAAATTCCCTAATTAAGATTTGGATTTGTGAATGCAATGCTTTCTTGATACGCTCGTCTGCATTCGTATTGAACTACTTGGGAACTAGAAATATTGTGAGTTCTTCTAAGGGAGTAACTGGACAAAACCCATAAACTATTCCAAAAGGACTATTGCCCATAGTTTGGTTCAATGATCGCATCTGTGATCCGTCTTTGGAAATTTTCGTCTGATGTAACAATAATTCCCATTGCCCCTGACGATCTCCAATTAAACTTTTATCAAAAGTTAAATCTTTATCTCCATGGAGCATGAGGTTGTTATGCTCGTTGTCTCCAAATTCATATACTGGGGTAGAACTTCATCTTTGTCGTCAAAGATATTAGAATTTCTAATAACTGATTTTCCACCGAAATCAATATAAGAGATTTCTTCTACCTCTGGATTCTCATCGTCTTGCTCCTAATCATACTTATCGTAGATAGGGAACTCGTCATAAATTGGAGCATCCATAACAAGATTCTCACCATCTTGCTCTTCATCATATTCATCATAGATCGGGACCTTCTGGTCTTCTGTCAAGTCTATGATGTCAAAGACCTTTTCGATGGTGTGTGACCCGTCGATAAACTCATCTATATGAGTGGTGCCCTCGAATTCCGGGATCTCAATCTTCACCCCAATATTAGCAAAAAAGGATTGATTTTGAGGTTGACTTCGTCCTCGTCCCTCCTCATTCCAATTCCAGAATGAGTTTTTGCTCTTTTCTTCCTCATGAGATGATCTTTCAGATTCCCTTCCTTCATCTGACTCGTCCAACTGTGTTGGGGCAAATAGTTGTTCGAGCTCCTGAATTCGCCTACCATGTTCTGCCAATGTAGCAGCCATTGCTACAATTATGGTGAGTCGCACGTCAATGTGTGGTTGTTTGTCGTCGACATTAAGGGTGTTAACATGCCCTCTATCGCTGTCGTCGCCTCGACCCCGTCGTCCACGACCTTGACCTCGACCGCCATTGTTCTGTTCAACATTTATGTGACAACCAGAGCTCTGATTACCAAATAATGCCGAAGCAATAACCAATTGGCTAAACAGAAATAAGAACGAATACAAGGATTGCGAGAAAAAGTATTTTCTCGCAATCCTTGTATTCGTTCTTATTTCTGTTTAGCCAATTGGTTACTGCTTCGGCATTATCATCCATGTGTGGAAGAAGAAGAAACAAAATCTAATAGTCTCCAAGCTTGATAGATCAAGCTCTATCACATTCTAATTTGTGGGGGGAACAGGAGGGGGATTTGAACAGAGAAAAAAGAAAGAAGGAAAGCAGATAATGCCAATCACCAAAGGGCGAAGATATCTCTCTCCCTCTCTCCTCAAAAGCTTATCATCTGAATGAATGGCATTCACTCGCTCGAATGTCCGAGTCCTCCCACTGCAGGCTCTCTAGCAGGTCTTACTTTGTTGTTGTGATTCACCATTTGAGGATAGTTGCTTGATCATACTGATCATAGTTTTACCAAACATGTTAATTGAAAAGCTATTCTCAAATGGTTACAGAGCTTGATCAGGCAATCACAGCAACAAAGTTAAACCAGCAGAAGAGTCTAAGACAAAATGACTACAATGATCAAGTGAGTGAAAACCATTAATTTTGATGTCAATCTTTGGGAAGGGGGGTGAGAAATCTTGGTGCTCTAGTGAGTAAATGGACACGTGACAAACAGTCAGACAGCTAGCAATGGAGATGGCAACTTGTTCGGTCATTAAAAGGGTTTCAATACATGTACTTAAGAAGCGGTCAGTATCAAATTTCAGGTAGAGCAACATGGTTCATATGAAACACTTAATTGTCCTAGGATTCATTCCATCACTTTCAAATATGCAATGTAAAATGACACAAGGAATAGACAGCGCTGAAATTTCCAGTACCTCCTTTTTCTTACACTCCTTGTAAACATCAAAATGTTCTTGACATTTACTCTTATCAGAATTAAATTCTTCTAAACCTGGAAATGTTTAGGAAAAAAAATGTAAGATACACTAATAATTGGCTGAATAACAGAAGGTCAATGATTAGTTACACGCCCTTCTCTTACTTCCCAAGCAATAGCATAGATAATATATATATATATATATATATATATATATATATATATATAGAAAGATAGATAGATAGAGTGTCAAGATTTTTCAATCATTTAAACTACACGTTAGTCAGGATCCCATAAAGTGCAACATTCAAAATAATCATATAATTCTGACGCCTTACGCATACTAACAATGGTTGCCCTTATCCAATATCATCTTCACCCATACACAGAATTCAACCATAAACCAAAAGAAGGCACTCACTAAAAAAAATAGGATGAAAGTTCAGTAAGACAATCTAATACCAATAACAATTGGTTCAAGAGGTAAGGAGTTTGTTTCCCTTAACCAAAGGTCTCGAGTTTGAGTTTTCGGAATAGAAAAAATGGTGTTGTGAGAGCCGCCTCCATAATGGGTTAGATAGTGCTTGAATCGGATTAAACCAGTTTGGATAAAAAACAAAAAATAAAAATAAGACAACCTAATATATTAGAAAGACCCACAAGCCTTGATCACAAAGGAACCATCTAACGACCATTCATCATCAGTCGAATCAGCAAAGAAACAAACCAATAGAAGTTATAAAGGACAAAAATTATACAAACTGGTTGTCAGCATACTAAATACATTTATCATACTAACATATGAAACATCTAGTGTGAACAAGACCACCATTTCACACAGAGCAATTAGTTTAAGGACCACAGTTTAAGTTAATTTCTACAAAGTTGATGAAGGACAAGATTATTTTCCACAATATTTCATTTTCCATTTCATCTACCAATGTTAACTATATGTTCATACTCAGAAACTTTAATAAGTCCTTCCTTCTTCTTTTTTTCTTTTTTTTTCACTTTTAAGTTCTTTTCTTTTCTCATTTTTTAAAAGATAAATCGGTCAACTTCATTCTACAATATTATTTCCTTATCAAATTAGAACTGCTTGGTTTCCACTTAACTCAAGAACCTAATTCCCAATTGAAATCACTTAATTTTTACAAATTTGCAAATGGGTAATACCTAGAATATTCACATAGTCCTCAACTATATTTTGGGCACCAATAAAAAAATATGAGGTATGGAAAATAGCCAATTATCTCGACAGGTTCAAACTTTCATGGGCAATTCAAATTCAATGAGAATATCAGAGAGCATAGCATACGCATTAAATTAAATTTTAAAAATGAAAAACAGAATATTTAACGGGTGAAAGAGGAAGAGCGAGAAGAATATCTCACATTTGAGAGAAGCAGTATATTGAGGAAAACACTGAGAATCGGCGATTCTCGCAGCACTCGGATATGGAGGGTTTGAGACTTTGGACGCCATCGCGTTTCAGCAAGCTACCGGAGTTTCGTTTTGATGAGATTAGAGTTTGAAACAAGCTACTAGACTTCGCTTCGATAACGTTATTCTAAGTGACTGTTTCGATTCTTTTATTTTTAACCTATAACCTACTTATAACTATAAGCTAGGCCAAATAGATTTTGAAAAAAGCTCTTATAACAAAAAGTTCTTTTTTTTATAATAAAGAAAAAAAGCTGAAAATTAAAAGCTCCTAGGAGGAGCTTTTTTTAAGCTCTTATCTGTTTTTCTTGAATTGTGTGTTTTTTTTAAATGAAGAGTGATAAAGATAGAGAGAGAAATAATTTTCTTGAAATATGTGCTTTTAACTAATTTTTAAGCTACAATTTTTATGTAATTTCCAAACAGCTTTTAGCTTCTTTTTTTAAGCTCTTTTTTTTAACTTTAACTTATAAGTAGCTTCTAGCTTAAAAATAAGAGGATACAAACAGGCTCTTAGAGCAAGGGGATTATATCCCTTCCTCTCGTAGAACCATTTTATTGTATTAAAAATGTATTCGTCAAATCCTCCAAGATAGGTCAGTTTGCAGCTGAGCTCCCAAGAGATTGCTTGGTGCAGGGATCAAATCCTGCCTCAATCAGTTTCTTGAAAAATCTTTGGGGCTAGAGGATAAGCCAAAAATCTTCAGTTGGGGGATTAGTCTCGTCCTTTTTCCGGTTGCGAAGCTTAGTCACCCACTGTTACAACGAGGGGCTAGTCCAAACGGGCCGTACCCCGAGGGCATGGTGCCCGGAGAAGGTTGAATGGGAATACCTCCTGGCAATGTACCAAAAAAAAAAAAAATGTATTCGTCAATAGAAAACTTATCTACACTTAGTTCAAAACAACGTCGTTTTGAAGCAGAAATTAAAGTATTTTTGTAATTATAATTTATTTCAGAGTTATAATAGTTTTTTTCATTATAATTTTTTAATTTTTCAACTCAAAATGACATCATTTTGAGAGCAAATGTAGATAACTTATCTACGTTCACTTTAGAAACATTAAAGCCATTAAAAATAGTGATGAGACACTTTATTCAATGAATTGGTTTGTCTTTTTCTTAACATGATAAAAATTTTGTTTTCTACGACGTGATGGATGCATTTCCCTTAGAGTAAATACAATTTTTGGTCCTCAGCAAATTTTACAATGCCCGCTTTAGTCACTAGCAAATAAAATGGCCCATCGTGGTCCTTAAAAAATTTAAAATTGACCTATTTTAGTACTTTTGAGGGATTAATATGAATTTTTTTGAATTTGTGAGAGATCACGATTTCAACTAAATGGGTCAATTTTGAATTTCTTAAGGACCACGATAGATCTTTTTATTTGTTTGAGACTAAAACGGACATCGTAAAATTTGTTGAGCATAAAAAAAATATTTACTCTTCTAATTAATGTTTGAGACTAATCAAATACTTTGAAGGATATCATACAAATAAACTAAAATATTCTTTATTAGTTGAAGAATGTGTAAATGAGTCAGCGGCTTATTAATTAGGAGTTTAAAGCCTTGTTTGCCTTATGTCTTACTTTACCTGGTTTATTTAAAAAATAAAGTAGATTAATTTTTTTTAAAAGAAATTATGTCATAAGCTCACGTTAAAAAGCCTGGACCAAAAACATGCTGGCATACCTTTTAATTTTTAAATTAAATAATATATTTATAAAGGTACCTAATAGCAAAGAAAAAGCTCTCAAAAACAATATTTTACGTGTTGTTATGTTTTAAAGATCTTTGTGATCTTGTTAAAAAATTATTTGAGAATTTTTATAGTTTGAATTCTTGCTGGAAACATTGTTTAATGAATCAAAAATTTCGTTATTTTTATATTAGTTTGGTTTGGAATTTTGTAGGCTATGTTATGCTTTTTATTTTGTTTACAATAGGTCAGTTCATGTCTATAAACCAAGTCTTTAATAGGTTAATAGACATGTTGATGCACCCAAGCTGACTTGCTTGGATTGAGCTTTTCCATAATTTATTATTTTATTTAGGAATTTTTAATAATTGCTAGTTATTTCCTTTTGTTATTTTAGATTATGTTTGAGTGTGCGTTGATTGTGCATTATCTCCTATGATTACGCTTGATTATAGTTATTTACTTTTTTTGTTATTTTATTTTGCATATTTAAGGCTTGGAGAACCCTATCGTTATTCAATTGTTTTTTTTGGTTAAATAAAATTAAGAAAAGAGAAATAGTATTTTCTCGCAATCCTTGTTTCGTTCTTCTTTCTGTTTAGCCAGTTGGTTACTGCTTTGGCATCATTTGGTATCAAAGCACTAAGTTGCCTTCAACCAATGGCTGAACAAAATCGTGGAGGTCGACGATGGTGGAGTCACGAGGGTATGGAACGTGGATTCGTTCCTGAAGAATATAGACAACTGCGTCAGATTGACCCGCGAGATATAGAAAATGAAGAGCTTGGAAGGCGGATCTAGGATTTGAAGCAACAACTTGAGCAAGCGTTGGACAAGAAAATCCAAGTTTTGAAGCTACTATGTGTGCGGGCACAGAGAAAGAGAATTCAAGATTTTGAGCGACGACTCGTGCGAATATGCATGAAAATTCAAATTTTGAAGCAAACTTTTGTGGAGGTGCAGAGCATGGAAATTCAATATTTGGAGCGGCGACTTGCGTGGACAAAGTTAGGCATTCAATCCGAAGAAAGAATGGAATTAGATGACACATCTAATGACAAAGAAGAGGACGTCAATCCCTTGGGGATTCTAAACCAGGGACAGAATTGAGAAGTACGACCAGAAAATCAGTCCACTTTTCAAGATATCGAGATGCAAATCAGCATTCCTAACTTTGAAGTCTATGATCATAATCCAGTTTGTGATGATGATCCGATCTATGATGATAATCCAATTTATGATGATTATCCGATTGTTGATAATTATCCCATTTATGATGATTATCCATCTTATGATGAAGATTTAGTTTATGATGATAATTCAGTCTATAATAAATCTGATGGTGAATCAGATTATGAAGAGCTAATAGAGGAAGATTTATCATTTGAACTTTTGTCTAAAGAAATTAAGATCGGTGAAGATAAACAAGATTCGAGGACGAATCTTTTCCTAGCAGGGGAGAATGATGCACTTGTAGTTGGCCCATTGTACATGGCTCAACCATTGATTCAAGAATCTCGTAGTCAACTAGAATTGTGGCCTAATAAGTATGGCCCAATTGTTGAAAGAGGCAATATTTTGAAATATAACAAATTACAATCGAATCCAAGTCCCAGTAAAGTGGCAAATGTGATTGTGATTTGTTTGGGAAGAAACGGAAAGCAACATATTTGGCGTGATTTGAGATTAAAGATCTGGGATGTATTTTGAATTATTTATTTGTAAGTTTTTATTTATTTTTAGATGTTAATTACTGTTATATTTATTTTAGGAAATTTTATTATTTTTAGAATTTTGAATCAATTTGTAATTAGTCTATAAAAGGGTGCTTATAGTTGTCACTTAAATGGCTGAACAGAACAACGGCGGTCGAGGTCGAGGTCGTGGACGATGGGGTCGAGGCGACGGCGGCGGTAGAGGGTGTGGTAACACTCTTTATGGCGACGACGAACAACCATACATCGACGTGTGAGATGCCACAATGGCAGCAATGGCCGCTACAATGGCAGAACAAGATAGACGAATTCAGCAGCTCGAACAATGGTTAGGCCAAACATAGTTGGACGAGTTAGATCAAGGAAGGGAATCTGAAAGATCATCTCATGAGGAGGAAAGGAGCGAAAACCCATTCTGGGACTGGAACCAGGAGCAACGAGGATGAACTCAACCTGGAAATCAATCCTTTTTTTGCCAATATTGGGGTGAAGATTGAGATCCCAGAATTCGAGGGCACCACTTATTCAGATGAGTTCATCGACTGGTTACACACCGTCGAAAGAGTCTTTGATATCAGAGACTTGACAAAAGACCAGAAGGTCAAACTGGTCGCTATCAAACTGAGGAAGCATGCCTCATATTGGTGGGAACATATTAAGAAGCAGCAAAAAAAAGAAGGGAAGTCAAAGATCAGGAGTTGGGATAAGATGAAGAAACTGTTGCAACAAAAATTCTTACCAATTCACTACCGGCAGGAGGCATTTTGTTGAATACCATAATCTCAAGCAGAGAGACCTATCAGTTGAACAATGTACAACTGAGTTTGATCGTCCGCGGATGTGTTGTGATATCGTAGAGGAGGATGAACAATTGGTCGCTCGTTACCTAGGAGGACTGCAGACTGAGATCTTAGATGTTTTATACCTGTAACGATATTGGTCATATGAGGACGTATATCGACTAGCTTTGAAGGTAGAGAAGCAGTGTAAGAGAAAAGAAGTACTTCAAAATTCCAACCCAAGTTTTCTAACACAAGAAAGTCATCAAGTTCAACAACCAACACTAGTGTGGGGAAGGATCCTTCTAACCCGAAACTAGTAAGCAAAGGGGTAACGACCAATGGTGGAGCTAGCAAGACAGGAACTACGAAAAAGAGGTGCTTCAAATGCCAAGGTTTAGGACACTTCACTGCTGATTGTCCAAACCGGCAGTATGTTACTCTTGTCGATACGACAGCTGATGATATAGGCCCCACCTATGATGAGTATGAAGAAGATCAGGTGGATGGAGGGTCTGAAGAAGGTGAGATTATCTATGGTGATGTTGGAGAATCCTTGGTTGTTCGGAGGGTTCTGAGTGTTGACGTAGCTGATGATGAGTTGTGGCTCTGACACAATATATTTCACACAAAGTGAACCAGCGGTGGCAAGGTGTGTAGTATGATCATTGATGGGGGAAGCTGCGAGAATGTTGTCTATAATACCATGGTCGAGAAGTTAGGACTGAAAACTGAGGAACACCCACAACCCTACAAGCTTTCTTGGCTGAAGAAAGAAAGTGAGGTGAAGGTGAACAACAAGTGCCTCGTGCAATTTTCTATTGGCAAGAAATATACTGATGAGGCGTGGTACGATGTCATTCCGATGGATGCATGTCATATCTTGTTAGGGAGGCCGTGGCAATTTGATAGGAAAATGCGACATAATGGCTTTAAAAACACTTATACTTTCAAGAAGGACGGGTTGACAATTACTTTGGGGCCTTCTGATTTGAGGAATGAGGCAAAGAATACAATGCTATCCAGAGCAGATTTCCAAGAAGAAGTTGCTAATGCCGTTGAGGTATTGGCTTGTGTGGTGATGGAAGAGAATTGTAGTGTTTCTGACATTCCTTTGCAGGTTAAGCCATTGTTAGAAGACTTTGCTGATGTGGTTCTTAAGGAAATGCCACCGGGATTGCCACCTATGAGAGACATCCAACATGTATTGATTTTGTGCTGGGAGCTATTATTCCCAACAAAGCAGCATATAGGATGAGCCCTAAGGAGCATGAGGAGTTACACAAATAGGTGCAGGAGCTACTAAAGAAGGGTGTAGTAAGGGAGAGCATGAGTCCCTGTGCAGTACCTGCCTTGTTGGTCCCTAAGAAAGACGGAACCTGGAGGATGTGCGTCGATAGTAGGGCTGTCAATCGGATCACTATCAAGTATCGTTTTCCCATACCTCGCTTTAATGACTTAATTGATCAACTTCATGGGGCAATAGTCTTCTCAAAGATAGACTTGCGAAGCGGTTATCATCAAATCAGAATGCGACCTGGCGATGAGTGGAAGACCGCCTTCAAGACAAGGGATGGGTTATATGAGTGGATGGTTATGCCATTTGGTTTATCTAACGCGCCAAGCACATTCATGCGGCTGATGAATCAAGTTTTTCGACCTTTCATTGGTTCTTTTGTTGTAGTTTATTTTGATGATATCTTGATATATAGCTCCTCTGTTGAGCATCACTTACTACATCTGAAGAAAGTGTTTGAGGCCTTAAGGGAACAAAAGTTGTATGCCAATCTGAAGAAAAGTTATTTCTTCACCAATTCTGTGACATTTTTGGGGTATATTATTTATGTTGATGGTATTAGGATGGATCCAGCAAAGGTTGATGCTATTATCGGATGGGAGACGCCTAAGAGCATACATGACATCCGAAGCTTTCATGGTCTAGCCTCTTTCTATAGGAGGTTCATGCAAAATTTCAGCACTATTATAGCACCTGTTATAGATTGTTTGAAAGAAATCAAGTTTGAGTGGACTAAGGAGGCATAAGCGGCATTCCAATTACTAAAGCGAAAGGTAACTGAAGCCCCTGTTCTGGTGCTACTTGATTTTTATGATGTTTTTGAAGTGCATTGTGATGCTTCTGGAGTTGGCATAAGGGGTGTACTCAGTCAAAAGAATAAACCGGTAGAATTCTTCAGTGAGAAGTTGAATGAAGCCAGAATGAAATATTCTACTTATGATAAGGAATTTTATGCAATAGTTCGGAGCTTGGAGAATTGGAGATACTATCTAATCTCTAAAGAGTTTATCTTATTTTCTGATCATGAAGCCTTGAAATATATCAATGGTCAGCACAAACTAAATACTAGGCACACTAAATGGGTGGAGTTCCTTCAAGCTTTCAACTTTGTTATTCAACATAAGGCAGGAGCGCTAAACAAGGTTGCAGATGCACTTAGTAGGAAGCACTCATTATTATCCACTATGTAGGTGAAAGTTGTTGGTTTCGATTCCTTCAAGGAGTTGTATGTGGATGATACTGATTTTAGGGATATTTGGGAGAAATGCAAGGCAGGGCCTTATCTACAGTTTTTGATAGTTGATGGGTTTCTTTTTTAAGGACAACAGACTTTGTATTCCTCATTGTTCACTAGGGAAAGAGACCATCCTCGAGGGACATTCAGGAGGGTTTGCAAGGCACTTTGGTGTTGACAAGACAACAACTTTAATCTGCGAACACTTCAATTGGCCCCGAATAGAGCGTGATATTGCTAGACTTGTGGAGAGGTGCAGAGTTTGTCACATTGCTAAAACCAAGGGCACTAAAGCTGGCTTATACTTACCCCTACCTGTTCCGGCTGCACCATGGGAAGATATCAGCCTTGACTTTGTGTTAGGCCTTCCAAGAACCCAACGCAATAAGGATTCTATCATGGTAGTAGTGGATAGGTTCTTAAAGATGGCTCATTTTATCCCATGTAACAAGACTTTTGATGCTTCGCAGGTAGCTCGTTTGTTTTTGCAGGAAGTTGTGAAACTCCATGGTGTACCTAAGACCCTCACTTCTGATCGTGATGTGAAGTTTGTAAGCCATTTCTGGCGCACTCTTTGGAGGCTGATGGGGACGAAGCTACAATTCATTTCATCTCACCACCCCCAAACTGATGGTCAGACCGAAGTTGTGAACAGAAGCTTGGGAAATTTGCTGCGGAGCTTGATTGGAGAGAATCCCTAGCAGTGGGACTTGGTGTTATCGCAAGCAGAATTTGCTTACAATAGATCACAGAGTCGCACTACAGGCAAGAGCCCCTTTGAAGTTGTCTATGGGCTTAATCGAACTACCCCTATGAACTTAGCACCATTACCAGTACATAACTATTTCAGTGAAGATGCTGAGGATCACGCCAATCGTATTAAGGAGTTACATTTGCGGGTCCATGGTCATATTCAAAAGCAGAACGTGAAATACAAGCAACAAGCTGGCAAGCATAGGAAGCGAGTTGTTTTCAAGGAAGGTGATTTGGTGTGGATCCACCTTAGGAAGGAACGTTTTCCAGCTAACAGGTTTGGCAAGCTTCAGCCTAGAGCTGATGGGCCTTTCAGAGTGCTCGAGAAGATCAATGACAATGCTTACAAGATTGCACTGCCTGGGAAGTACAATGTTTCTGGAACTTTCAATGTTGCAGACTTGTCTCCTTATCAAAATGAAGAGGAAGACCTGGTGTGCGAGAGTAACAATGAAGACCCGTTAGATTCGAGGACGAATCTTCTTTTGGCAGGGAAGATGATGCACCCAAGCTGACTCGCTTGGATTGGGTTTTTCCATAATTTATTTCTTTATTTAGGGATTTTAATAATTGCTAGTTATTTCCTTTTGTTATTTTAGATTATGTTTGAGTGTGCGTTGATTGTGCGTTATCTCCTATGATTACGCATGATTATAGTTATTTACTTTTTTTTGTTATTTTATTTTTCCTATTTAAGGCTTGGAGAACCCTATTGTTATTCAATTGTTTTTTTGGTTAAATAAAATTAAGAAAAGAAAAATAGTATTTTCTCGCAATCCTTGTTTCGTTCTTCTTTCTGTTTAGCCAATTGGTTACTGCTTTGGCATTACACGTGTAAGCTTTAAATATTTTAGATAGACTTAGGCTATTAAGGCGAAAGCCTAGCATGACTCATTTACTCCCTACTTGTGTGGGACACCCGGCTGACTCGCCTTAAAGAGGCAAGTAGGGAGATATACCCAAAAAAAAAATTCTTTATAATATATTTAGATATAACTTTTTAAAGTTTTTATAAATTTTTTTATTTGGCTTATTTATACATGATTCATATTTTAATTTATTAAAAAAAATTTAAAGTCATAATTTTAAATAAAATATGTTAAAATATATAAAAAAAATTACAAAATATATTAAACTAAAAAATATATGTTCACAAAATAAATTTTTATATTTTACCAAAAAAAAAAATGGGTGGAGACTTCTCCATAAACCCTAAGTTTATGAGATTTATTTTTCATCCCGTGTTGTGGGGTTATATTTCAGGTATTCCAGCAACTGTTGAACAGTCATCTCATGGCAAGAGGCCTGTGCATAGTGGCTAGAGTTGGAGCTGGAATATATGTTGTTATATGTGTAATCTTTTTGAGGCATGAGTAGTATCCATGCATGTTTACATGTGATATCCATTTTGAGAGGCATATGTAGCCTTTAATTTGTATATTCGTACATGATGTTATGAATTTCAGTATGTATGTGTGTATTGGCTCTAAGCCATAGTTCAGTATATGAGGTATTTCAGATATCAGTATTGATCCGCTGTAAGTTTAAAGTTAACAGGTTTAATTGTGTTTAGGATTGGCACTGAGTCAAATTCTGTGTGAATTCATGGATGAATTCTAAGTCTGATAATGTATATTTATGTTTTGTTTGGATTTTTCTATATTATAGGAATTTGGATTTGTCTAGATTATAGCTGTTATGTTGTCCGTAGGTTTCTGTTCAGAATGGTCCATATGATCATATTTGGATGGAATATATCTGTCAAGTACATGTATAGATAGAATAGACATAGGTAGACTATTCAAGAAGTTTGTACAGGTATGAGACTGTACATATTACAATAATTGAAATTAGGACTGTGCGTGGCAATTCGGGGAAAGATAATAATATGTTAATTTATTAAGATACCGTAAATAAAGTAGTATTAGGATAAAAGAAAGAGTTTATTCCCCTTTTACATTAATTAAACGTAATACTTATGTTAAGTCTTCCGCTTAAATCATAATTTGTGATGCACTATTGTACCATATGCATGATAACTAACCGACTGTAGACGGGGTGTTACAGCTCACGTCAAGATGAACCTTATCTATAGAGATTTATAAATATGTATTTTTCGTTCATTGACAATTAACACATGCAGATCAAGCTTATCTTCGAATTTTTAAATTTATATTCTATTACTTAAAGTAAATCAATGTGAGAAAGACAACTTTATTTCTAATTATATATATATATATAGGATATAATGTTTCTATTTTTGTTGTAAATATATTGTAAACAGATGCACCTTGTCTTAAATAAATATAATTTCTTACTTTAGGTGAATTAATACAAATAGGCCAATCTCATCTCGAGACTTATAAATTTATATTTTTTTCATTGATATTCAATTAATGTGTAGAAGATCTTTTGTGTTTGGTGTTGTTCACACAAGTTTTATTTTTTGTCAATTAATGTAATAAAAGAATTTTTTTTTGAAATTTGTAAATATTTTTTTATGTAAAATCAATTAATATATTATATATATATATATATATGATTTTTTTAACAATATGTATGCTTATTTTATTTATGGTTAATTAATGACCTTTTCTAGAAACATGTGAATATATTTTTTTTTTCATTTTTTGTCAATTAATGTAAGCAGCTAACCATGTCTTAAAATTTATAAATATACATTTTTTTTATTTATGATCAGTTAATGTAAGCAGCTCAACTTTATCTTGATGTTTGTATGTTAATATTCTATTACTTACCACAAATTAATGTAAGAAAGACAACCTAATTTTTAGATACAAATATGAGATAAGTTATTCTATCTACATCTTTTTCTGCCTACCACTCTCCAACATCATTAGATCAGAATCTCAAGAGAAAATGGAAAGATAAACGTTAGTTGAGATTTTGATCTAATGGTGTTTTATAGTGATAGGCAAAGGTAGGCAGAAAAAGAGGTAAGTTAAATAACCTA